TCTCGCTATTGGTGTCTAGGTGGCAGACCGACCGTTCGACCTGACAGGCTGCAGACTCGCCTGATTCCGATCTCCTGAGCGCCGCCGCCGCCCGGCGTCAGGTTTTCGCCGCCGCACCGCTCGTAAACCGCGTGTCCGAGCCCCCAGCTGCGGCAGATCTGCTCTCAGCTGCCGCAGATCCTGTTGAGGCTGGAAAAAGTAGTGGTCCACGCCCGCCACCCTGCAGTACGCCACCCGGCCCGCTCGCGCGAGAGGGCTCCGAGGCTAATCCTCCGTGCAGCCATCGCACACGCGGGCTGGGGGCGTTTGCAGTCACGACAGCCATGGGGTTGAGCGGCATGGAGTCATCCATCCCCCTCCCACTTCTCCCAACTCCACATTGTCAACATGACAAAGATGGCGGCAATGAAACCTGTATCACAAATCTACAGACTGCTCCCGGCTGTCATCCTAAATCCGCCATTGGCAACAACGGCCGGCGTTTGTGGCGTTTCCCTGGAAATGACCCCACGTGCTTACGCAGTTCGGAGACCTACATCATCGTTATTGTGTTGATTGTATTGCTGTCTGTTGTGGCTGGCTGGCTCGTGGTGCGTGTTACCGTTACACTATTGGAGCGCTCCTCCAAGGGCATGGCGAGTCGCAACCCGAGGGATTACAGGTGTTGTCGGGAAGACCTACGTTTTGACAAACATGGGAGGCGTAGACACAACAGTTGTTGGGCCCTAAAACACCAATAAAATAGTATGTGGGAATGTGTTGTCGGTGTTGTTACACATTTAACACATTCTTGTTTGTGTATGCAGGGCGAGTGGCTCGTGATATCTCGTGGTTTCTGGGTTAATTTTCCACTGAGACAGAAGCGCGGTCACTCCACCGACATGGCTGTCCGGCGGGTCCTGCTCCGAGGACTGCTATCGGGGCGTCACGGCCGACCGATCGCCCCCACAGCCCAGACCGTAGCACCTGCGGCTGCTGGAGCGCCGCGAACCTGCGCGCCATCTGACGCCCGTCCGCCCAACTACCTCCCCTGACGGGCACCGGGCGCACATCTGGCCTCTCATCCGTCTACGAGCGTGTCTGGACAGGGTACCGCCTGTGGCACCCTGTCGCCAACGTCGGGACGTCTCGCGGCACGTGCCGACGCGCGACGCGGCGCGACTGGGGTCGTTAGGACCGCGCGCGGAGATGGCGAGGTAAACGGCCGCAGCAGCGCAGTACCGTCTGCAGTCGCAGCGCCCGGGGCACCTCGCTGTGCTCTGCTGCCACGCGAGGTCATGCAGCGGCCGCCCGAACGAGCTCCTGTCGCCCCAGGGCAGAGACGCCGCGCTGGCCGCTGCAGCTGTCTGCTGCGCCGAGCCAGCGCCGCCCGTGGCTGTTGTGGGGCGGTGGGTACTGGGTACCGTGGAGCACCTCCAGCCTCCGAGCCGTGCAGTGCAGTCATGTGTGGCGATGGGTGATATATGAAAACTACGTCACGAGTTAGTAGACAGTTGCGCCGTTTAGTGCTTCGCCCACAAATCGCGCAGGTGCTAGGAGGCAACCCTGAGCGCACCCTTATTTGAGCGATCCCTACCGCTGCCGCGGCGCGCGCGCGCGGCCGACTTCCCCGGTGTCGCACCGGGCTGATGGCGCCCCGCAGGGACACAGCTTCGGTGATAACGAGCGATCGCCGCCCTCGCCTCTCTAATTGGCCTATTTTCCTTTGTCGGATACCGGACGACAAGTCAAGCGAGCTTCCTAGGGCGGGCGCGCGCGGCCACCACACCTGCCGGTGCCGAGGCGAACCCGATCGGCGCACCGACGTCGCCAGGTGGTAGTGAGGATAGAGAGAGGATAATTGGAGACCTGGACGACTCATAGACGGTGGTGGTGGGTCGCTGGGGTCAAATGAGCGGCTGTTGAGTTGTGGTGGTTGAGAGACGCGAGCGGTGCGTGCAATGAAGATGAGTGTTAGGTGTGTGTTTTGGTAGCATTGGTGATCTGCAAGGGACAAGGATTGGTGTTGAGATTGGAGAGGGATTTTCTGTGAGAATTTCATGTTGTGAGTGATAGGGAAGGGGTTGGGACCTTGGGTGGGGCTGAGGTCCTTGACCTGTCGGCGGCAGGCGCCGGCTGTCGGGGTTACACCTGTCCCGACGCCGCCGACGCCGCTGGTCAGCCGAGCGGCTCCCACGTCCGGTGCGGCCAGGTCGACTCAGACCGTTTCAACGAACCTGGTTACACCCGCCGCCGCCGCCCTCTGGTCACGTGCCTCGGCGGCCGGCCGGTGGGCGAGGTCACGTGACCGCAGGGTCACGTATCGCGCGCGCCCGCTTCCGGTCGGCGCGCCCTGTTTCCGGCGGGCCGGGTGGCGCGCGTCACGGACGCTCTCTCTGTGTGTGCTCTGGCCGTGAGGTGCCGCCGTCGGCTTTGTCGCCGCCGCCACCGCCGGCGCTGCATTTTGGTCGACCGGTCGGGCGGTTACCGCCGCCGTCGTCACCGCGGCGGCGGGGTCGTCGCGCCGCCGACCGGCCGCGTCACGCCGACTGGCTTGTGTGCTTTGTGGGAGCCGAGAGCAGCGCTGGCCGCGTATCGATTCACTGAGCGCATTGTTCGCGCTCTGCTTTGGTGCGATGTGCCCGGTCACGATCCGGCCCCCGCCCCCGCCCCCGCCCCCGCCCTGGCCCGGAGCGATTCGTGCCCCCTCACCCCGTTGAATCATCTGGCTGCTGACTGCGCACAGGTCACGTTCGCACCCTGTTCTGGCGCCCTCAACACACGGCAAGTGGTGTTCGGCGCCACAAACGATGTCTGACGCTAACCCCTGGCTCCTCAAGTCCTCACACCGCTCCTGTCATAAGGACGGAGAGGTAGTGTGTTCGATGACGGTGAAGGGTAACTGTAGCGGTGGCGCAGGCCGGATGTGGCTCGGGTCGTCGTCTGCGGCGGCCTGGCCGGCACGCGCGGCTCGCAGGATGTTGTGTCCGCCGCCGGCCGCGCCGCTGACCCGTTCCTCGGCCGGTCTGTCGCGCCGCTCGGCCGTGCTCAGATCCAGAGGGGAGGGGAGGGGAGGCCGTCTCGCGTTACGGGCCCGCTCGGCGCGCCGGCTGCCCGGCCTATTTGTGAGGTGCTGCCTCGTTCCGCCTAATGAAGCAACATCCGGTGGTGGCCGCTCGGCTGCCCCCCGCCACCCCCGGTGACCGTGGCCTGGTGTGCGTTAGGTATCTCTCAACCCTCTATTAGCCGCGGGCGGGTGACTCCGAAGGCTACGCCCGTCGATCGGAAGGAACCGGATCTTTGGTTGGTGGCGAGAGTCTGGTTAAACGACCTACCGACTCGAGCTGGGCTGCGCCGGCTGACCCTGCGCGCTGCCGACCTCTGAGGGTGGAGGGCGCGGTGCAGAGAGCGGAAACGTGCGCGCCGAGCGCGCCACACCATCGGAAGCAGGCGCCGGAAGGGCGAGTCCAAAGGAAGTACCGCCACGCGTCCGGTAGCGGCTCTTTAACTCGCCTTCCTGAGGACAGAGTCACGGCGCCGGGGGCAGAGGCTGTGGGACGCGCTGGGGTAGAACGAGTCAACTCGGCGCAGAGGTGGTCTTTACCTGATTGCTCTGTTGGTTACGACTGAGGACACCGGATGTTGGAGCTGGGTACTCCACTGGCGGCCGACGGAAACGGACATACCTGGCGGCCAATGGAAAACGCATGCCGGGTAAATGAATGACGAATGAATGATGGATGAATGGCGCGATGAATGGGAGCGAGTGACGGATACGCACTGCTGCGACTGTGTGACGCTGAATGACGTGAATAACCCGTGACGTCCGCTGTCAGGCCACTGAGGAATGCGGGTACGTACTGCCGGCGGTACGCCCACGTGTCTCATGCAGGTCAGCACGTGCCACGTGGTGCGCCCCTGTGGTCGAGCGAAGCGGAACGATGTGATGAGTGAGTCAGTTACGGTTAGAGGGATGGGTGGATTACAATTGCGAATAGAAAGTCGGATGGAAATATTTGATCACCCGTAAAAGCGAGAATGTTCAGTTGATGCGGTATTTGTAGCCGGCTAGTCACATGACTGTATTCCATTCCGCTTCCATGTTGCAACGCGAAATGAAGGCATTGATCGGGTGGATACCGATATTCAAACGACGAATGACTGCGTAAATCGACAGTAAAATACTTTTACTTCCGCCTTACACCGTGGCTTGACCGTCCGGAATCGCCACTCATCTTCACCCCATTTTCACATGTCTTTCCTCCGAGATCAGAATGTATGCTGACATTCCCCAACATGATTTCGTGTTGTTAAAACCGAGCCGTCACCGTCTTTTTTCTCGGGCGTGGTGCCCCACGCTTTCCTGCAAGTCCAGTGGCGGTCTATCACGCGATATCTGAGCGGAATTGCTCGGTGTCTGCCGACGCGCTGTGGAGTTCCCTGTCAGACCTCGGTGACGGGGTAGATGGTGATGGATGACGGTGTCGTTTCGTGAATGTGTGCCCCGCACGCGTGGCCCGCTCGTCACTTGTCAGCTCTATGAAGGCGCTGTCTGCTCCTGGTTGGATTTGGATCGCAAATAGGCTTTCTTAACTCTGGCTTATGTTTAAGGTTTTAATATTTTGTTTGTGTCTGGTCTGTGACGTGCATGGTAGTTAGATAATGTGTAATGACGTCAAACTAAGGTGGAGTCCAAACCACAGCTGTCTGATCTTGACGCGCTCGCTCGCTCCCTTTTTCACATGCTACCTTTTTATATGCCACATTCGCTCACCAAAATATTTTGTCTCGCACGGTCACGCTGGTCCTGTGTCTCAAGAAAAATGTGCTAGCTCATGTTTAACCTTGATAGATAAAGTAAAAAATAAAATAATTGGCGTATTTGCTATCCATTCTTAAAAATAATTCCTCACCCAAGTTTGAACATGATACTCCCGTTGCTGTTTTCTTATGATGTGATTCAGCTATAACCTCCTCTTGTGGCCACAACTCTAACTCTGTCCCCCGCTTCTCTTTGTCAGATGGCTGCTCGTCGCGCGCCAACCCCAAGCCCCGAGGGCCGTCCTCACCATCGACACGACGGCCCTCGTTCACGTTCAACACAGAGCCGTGCCCGCCCATGTACCAGGCCAAGTACTGCCTGCACGGCTCCCGCTGCTTCAAGGTCAACATCGGACATAACCCCGTCTACAGTTGCGAGTGAGTATCGGGAACATACGTGTGTATGCGTGTGTGTGGCCTGAGGGGTGCGTGCGTGCGTAAGGCAGTGCGCGAGGCTTTGCGTGTGGCGGCTCTGCGAAGAAGTGGCGTAGTACGCGCGGGCTGGTGAAGTTAAACTCATCCAAGGTGTGGTTAGGTAGGGGAGAGTGGGGCAAAGCGGCCACCCTAACGCTTCTCACGATGCCATCGCTTGATTTTTAAACTTGGAAATATTCTTTCTATGCCAATGTGATCCCTATTAAGTTGCCTTTTATTTCAACTGCGTTTTATTTCCAAAGGCGTTCACATATGGAAGATATTGACAAAACTTTAAACCTATGCATATTGGCCACTTTGCCCCACACCCTGGGGCAAAGCGGCCACCGGCGTCTTCTCAAGTCCCGATATTAGAAACAAAATAGTTACCTCTTGCACGACTAGGGTATTTGATGGTGACAATGTTTAAGCGATGATGGATGTTTACTTTATCATCTTCCACCTGTAGGTAAACAAAGAAAGGATTTTCATAAAAAAACATTTAATTGCATTATTTGGTAACTCATGCAACTGAAAAGTGGCCAAGATGAATGCATGACGACACATTTGAATATCAATAATGTTTTTATCCAGATGGAAACAACTTATGGCCAATTGGGGGGTGGCCACTTTGCCCCGGCCACTTTGCCCCGAGCATACCGTCCGAGACAAAAATATTCCAGCTTAGCTATTAGTGGGGTAAAAAACATTAAAATTGGTAGAATACATGTACGATAACCATGCAATGCATGGATAAGAACGCTTATAAAAATTCCAAACGGTTATGGAATAACATAACATTTAAAAATTGTAAACATTGTTGGTAACCTGGCAAAAAGTACTTTTCCGTGTTTCACAGAAAAATAATGATGGGCCTGAAACTCCGGTCTGGCTCATTCGAACGACCGTGAAGAGATGTATAATTGGAAACCATAAATTGGAACTGACGCCAGCTATGAAGGGCTAAAACGATGGGTGGCCGCTTTGCCCCGGGTGGCCGCTTTGCCCCACTCTCCCCTAATAAATATCTGCACGTTTGACTGGCATCGTGCGTAGTTCGTGCGGAGTGTGTTAGGGCACCTGTAATGTGCGTAACGGGATTTAGGGCTCTGTAATTGCACGGTTGAGCTGTAGAAGCATCCAGCTGTGATAATTCTGAACGAGAAGACTTGTAAAACTCGTCTCTTGATTGAAGTTAGCTGTGGCGTGTTAGTTTACCGATGCTTGGACTAGGGGGCTAGGGTGGCCTATTGACCTGAAGCTCCACTGGCCAAAACGTCCTCAATCGGTCGCGTTGCATCAGCGCAAGTAGTTGTAGGCGATAGTCCAGCACTGTTTAGTGTTGCATTATACATTACCATGTTCATATGGGGCGCTTGACACGGTCGCGAATGAAAGTGCTCCGTGCAACAGTGCCACGGGCTTTTGCTTCTGAATTGCTGATCGTTGGCGGTGTTGGAAGTTGGAAAGTGCGAGAAAATGGCATTGTTTTGTAATGGTGATCTCAGGATTACTGGAAGTTGGAACACACCAAGGTAACCAGTGGTAGTTGGATATTTCGCCAGTGTCTTAGATACGAGCTAGACTGTCAGAACAGATTTTCGAGAGCGACTAGTCAGTCGAGCATACGAATGTAAAAACGAAAGCATGACCGTGCCACGCCCGAGTTAGTTAAACATCTTATCGGTGACATTTCTTCTAGAGAAACAATCCCGATGTAGCGGGATTGGCCTACTACGCTCTGGCGAATGCCAGCTATGCACAACAAGCTTTAAATAGAGCCTAGCCGTCGGTAACGGTTCATGGAATGTTGTCTCGGATTGAAACGCGACGCCATTCGTTGTCGGACATTGTCTACATTCACAGGTGTGGGGCTTTGGCGAGCCAGGCGAAAGGAATCGGACCGGTGTTGCCACCCTGGCGAGCCAGCGGCGAAATTGGCGCAGATAACGGGGCTTGGTGTGGCGACAAATGTGGACGATTTGCGGCAATGTCGCAGACTATTGTCGTGTATCGTGTAGACGGAATTCGATGATTTTTAATGAAGTCCGTAGGTGTGACATTTTCTGAGAATTGTGGTCTTTGAAAAGCGTCCCGATTCCACAGCTGTCTGCTCTCTCTCTCTCTCTCTCTCTCTCTCTCTCTCTCTCTCTCTCTCTCTCTCTCTCTCTCTCTCTCTCTCTCTCTCTCTCTCTCTCTCTCTCTCTCTCTCTCTCTCTCTCTCTCTCTCTCTCTCTCTCTCTCTCTCTCTCTCTCTCTCTCTCTCCCTCTCCCTCTCCCTCTCCCTCTCCCTCTCCCTCTCCCTCTCCCTCTCCCTCTCTCTCTCTCTGTCTCTCTCTCTCTCTCTCTCTCTCTCTCTCTCTCTCTCTCTCTCTCTCTCTCTCTCTCTCTCTCTCTCTCTCTCTCTCTCTCTCTCTCTCTCTCTCTCTCTCCCTCTCCCTCTCCCTCTTCCTCTCTCTCTCTCTCCCTCTCCCGTCTCTCTCCTGTCGATCTCCGATGTTCTCGTCTCGATTCTCCCATACCATGGTGGGATTTCCAGCTCGTGCTCAACTCTACCTGACCACCGCCCGAGCATGGACCTCACGCCAGCTTCGGGCACGGCTTTAGCGCCAGTTACTATGCATTTCAGACCCCATGAGACCCTGTTTTTCGGCGATAATTTCTTCAATTTTTGTCCAATTAGCTTGAAATTTTGGCAGACCATATTTCAGCTCAAGCGCCAATTTTTGTCAATATGGTCTCTTAACAAAATATCAAAATTTAGAGCACTTGTCGTTGGCTCGTAATGTTAATCAGTTTTTGCACCCGGATAGAGGCTCGCTCGTTGCCGCACCGGATTGGATAGGAGCGCTGGCCAATCACGTTACGCCGTGCTCAACTTGACTCCGCCCACCGGCCGTGACCGCGATGGGTCTATGCCGCTTCAGTCGGTGTCAGCACCGCGGAGAGGTCGCAGCGGGACCTCATAATGGAGACAAGTTAACCCTCGCATGTGTAGGGGGGGTCGGATGGACCCCCCCCCCATGGTTTTTCGCGAATAACTCGCGTAAAAAGCGGCCGATCGCGACGAAACTTTCAGTACCCTCGCATTGATCAATTTTACACCTACCCTGAAAATTTCATGACCCTGACCCAAATGACCTTTGACCTGTGACCTCTTTTCCGAGACCATGTTTGGCCGGAATCGCGATTTCGCGTATGTCGGCTCGCACTAGCCGCGTGTTTGCAAGCTTTTCGTGGTTTCAAACGTTCAAACATGTGATTTGATGTTACTCCCGTGTGTGTCAAGGTCACCTGAAGGTCAGGTCAGGTCATTGACCTTTGGTGACCTCGGGTGACCTCGGGTCACTTTTTCGAGTTTTACATGTTTCTAGGCTAGTTTTTGGAGCTGAATTCGAATTTAGCAACCATTTGAACATTTACGAAGTAGTTTTGGTGACTTCGTAACATGTTACGAAGCTGTCAGAGGCGGTTGACACGTACTACGAATACCCGTCACGACGCGTACTGGTTGACCTGACCTGACCTGACCCGACCTGGTCTAAATGCTTCAAGACATCATCTGTGATCAAAACTAACACGATATTCGTGATCAGCACCCCGAAAAACCCCTTAGCAGCCACACTTTACGACTTTCTAACAGGTCCCGATTTTCCCGACTTTGGGTCATTGACCTGACCTGGAAGGTCAACCAATGACCTAGGACCTTAAAATTGGGTATCATCGGCTTCCTCTCGTCACGGGCAACACGCTCGTTTTTTCCGCGAAGCTCTAGCTCGATCAGGGGCCAAACGGCAAGGGGGGGTCCAACCGACCCCCCCCCTACACATTAGAAGCTGGCAAACGCCGCACACATGCGAGGGTTAAGCTGGCAACGTTGTCGGGACGAAAGCCAAAAAATTATCCGTTCGAGGGCATTTGGTGTCCTCTTCTCCTTATTTTGGTATTTAAACGTCGAACCAGCTCAGAATATTCAGAATGATCAGAATCAAAGCTAGGATCCATTGGAACGGAACCGGCCGTAGAAGGAAAGATAGATGGACTCTTGGACTCTGAACATTTATTTAAGCCGGAGTTGCACCTATCTCATCGTCAGGTTGGGTCAGGTCACTACCCGATTACCTATAAGATCATGTGTAAGCCTCTGCTTGACCCAAAAATATTGATATATTTGGCAGCGTCAATAGATGTTTCTGAGGAAGGCGCAGAAAGCAACAGGGTAGGATGAAGAGTCTCGGGCACGGCCGATTGCCTGGGGCATCGCTCCAGCGAGACGACCGTATTCGTGATTCGTGAAGCGGTGCGGGGCGCCGGGTGGGGCAGAAGCGTAATGTGTCGTATGGTAGAATGTCATGTGTGTAAGTTATATTGTTAAGGCGTGCACAGAAAGAAATAGGAATGTGGCAGGCGGACGTTGGGCACTACACGAGAACGATCATCAAGAAACACAAAACTTTTTTTTTTTTTTTTTGCAAAACTTATGTAGCAATAGGTATGTCCTCAATGGTGAGGTAACTATCTCTATTCTCTAGGCTTTTACTTTTCATGTTTGCATTTCAACACATAAGATCTGGGGGTAAAGTTAGTCCGGCGACCTCCTCAACCGAAGTCGATGACAAAATGGATTACTCCTGAAGGTGTTCAATGCTTATGTCGCACCGGGATGATATGAATCGATCACACCGGCATACATTCCTAATCAAATTTCATATATCAAACACATAAATTGCATCCTATTAATGGTGATTCTATTTTGCAACTTGAACGTAGTCTGACACGATACATAATTTTACGCAATCATTTGAAATCAACAGCGTTTTTTATGTGCGCTTTTTTCACAAGCCCCGAATCTTGTGTGGAAATAGATATTTGTTGTGACTGAACAAGGTGTACGTATACATTTGTCATAAATGGAAAGTCAAGGGCTTCAGCTAGTGCGTTACTTATGCGCGCTATTTAGCTCATTCGATGAAGTTACGGCTGCAACGACAACTGCACGGCAGCTTCGCTCCATGCGAGCCGCCCCGGTGCGACAGCTACTGCCCCGCTCGCTCCACGCAGCCGACTGACCGGCCAAGGTCACCGCCCCGTCCGCCGGGAGGGCGGAGCTTAATGGTCACGTGTTTGTGACGTCACACCTACGCACGGATAGCCTCTACTCCACTGACGGATTTACGGGGCCGATTTTAACATTACGAGGCAACTACAAGTACCCTAAAATTTGATATTTTGTTAAGAGACCATATTGACAAAACTTGGCGCTTGAGCTGAAATGTGCATTGTGAAAATTTGAAGCAAATTGGACAAATATTTAATAAATTATCGCCGAAAAACAGGGTCTCATGGGGTCTGAAATGCATAGTAGGTGTCTCGTGAGGCCAGGCCTCGTGGCTGGCATCAGTGATGACACGAGAGTGGTTAGGTTATGACACTGAAGAGGGGTGGTTTTTTAGTCTCGTGATAGGGGCCTCGAGGGGGTCTCGTGGTTAGACGTGGTATGTGGCACGTGCCAGGTACGGACGGCGCGTGCCGTAGCGTTCATAGAGGTGCTGGTATGGGTCAGGTCAAGTGTTCGCCAATATGCTGAAGGAGTATCCAGTGACCGCCTGTGTTAGTTTTAGGGGCCGCCGTCGTGCCTTTGGGCTGGTTTGGGTACGCGTGGTTTTGCTTAGTGAGCAACATATGGGAGTTGAGACTGGTTAACCACTCAGCGCTCTATTTGAACCTCTCGCCCTCTCTCTCTCTCTCCCTCTCCATCTCCCTCTCCCCCAGCTGCCCAACGCTGGCGGCCTCTCTTTTACCTGATGGCACTCAATAGAGCCCTGACAAATTCCTTCTCCCGTCGCCTCGTGAAAAGACAGACCCGTCCTCTGCGTGTGGTCGCTAATCCTCTTCAGAGCGGCTGGCGCACGCCCCATGGACCCGGACCTGACGGCGGGCTCTATAGAAACCCTGGACGACGGATGACGCTTTACGGATGACGCCTGGTGGATGACGATTGGCGGTGGATAGAGGGATGAAGGGATGGTTTTGGAGAGCGGTCCGGTGGGGTTGATGGGAGAGGAATGGGTTAGAGATGGGAGAAAGGGAAAGATGAAGTCGTCTTGTCTGGTGAGGAAAGTTTTGTGAGATGTTTATGGGTTTAGAGGGGACAGACGTATGTGCAATTGGTGGTCAGTTATAGTGTTGTTGTTTTTTTTTTTTTTAGGGGGAGGTGAGTTTGTATTGCGAATGCCGGAGCTAAGTGAAAAAAATACACGGTCTGGTACGAATTGCAGGCAATGCAGAGAGGCGTCAAATTGTCAACACATCGCGTCTCTTTGTCATACGTAACACAGATGACACAGGCGTCAAAATCCAACTGTCACCGGCGCCCTGTGACGGCCTCGCCCCCATACCGGACATTCCTCGTCCCCTCTGCCCCCCTCCCTCCTACCGGGGGGGGGGGGGGGCGGGGCTGACGGTCAGACGTCGCCTCAATGGGCTGACCGAGGCAGCTCGGACCGTACCACAATGCTGCCGTCAGTTCGGCGCGGATTAGGATCGGAGCGGGATGCCGCGACGGCTGTGGAGACCGCACTGGGGCGTGGGAAAGGACCGGGAGGCCTCCCCCGGGGTGGTAAAAGACTAGCGCCGGCGTGCTACAGCGTGCTGTGGGGAGGTTTTGAGGGGAAGCTGGCGTTGGAGAGAGAGGGTGTTCGGTCATATCAAAATTAGTAGCGCGGAGTTGGTGATATGTTGATCACAATGCTAAAATTATGGGACTGACGGAATGGTCAGGATGACTTGACTGACAAAGTAGGTTCTCGCGGTCGTAATATTGAAATGTAGGTACTGACTGAATGGTTATCCCTTCACTGACAAAGTACTCTCGCACACCAGGGGACTCTCCTATTGAATCTTTATGTAGATAGCCCTAGTAATCCCGCCGCGGAATGCTGTTCCTGCCGCTCTGATTTCCACAAATCTGTCTTAGCGTCTGTGTGGTCCCGGCTATCTTTGCGTATCACCGTGTGAGGGATATACTTAGCCGCGGTCGTCGTCGCCCGGCTCAATTCAGCGAAGCAGTTGTATCGTTCTGAGCTGTCAGCTTCAATCAGCTTTAGCCGGCGAACGGCCAGCGAGCGATAGATAAGCGAGAAGGGAGAGTGTGTCGCAGAGATGAAGCCGAGAAATTGGCGACCGCAAGAGGAGCGCTGCGCGAATGGGTTCTATCTAATCGCTCTGATCGCCTTGAGTTTTAGTGCCGATTGTGCTGATTTGAGGAAATCGTTTGAATTTGAGCGTCGCCGATGTGTCGTATAAGTGATCCTGTTCTGTGTTACTAAGGCTGGTTTTTCTGTGTTTCTCACACGCATAGACAGCTTTATGGGTCAATGAGTGTTTCTAAGGTCGATTTTTCTGTGTTTTCCAGGTGCACGGACGGCTTTATGGGTCAACGGTGCGAGTACAAGGATCCAGACGGCTTCTATCCTCGTGAGTATTTTACATCGGCACTTCTTATCACATCCCTAAAACGGCTTTGAGCTGTAAATACCTAACTAGAATAGTGAATGTCCCTCACTTGGCCATTATTTCAGGATATAAGCGAAACACGTCAAGCAATTCACGCTTCTCTTCTATGATGCTATGGATGCCTATTTCCAATATTCGATGAGTTTTAGAGTTTCGTTTGGTTTCGTATGTTCTTATTCATGACCGACATGTGTATGCTTATTGAAAGATAATCACATTTCACATTTGTCATTAGCCTGTGTTTGATTCTGATCCGTTTCGTCGCGCTCAGTCCCCCTCTGTTGCGTTGCGTTGCGTTGCGTCACGCAGGAAGCTCACACGTTGCGTTTTTCTGCGTTGCGTTCCAGATCTGAGGCGCTCAGGTAGGCCAAAGCCCCGTCCTCCGCTGTCGAGAGGTCTCTCACTGCCCTCTGCTGACCTGATCCTAAACCGGGATCCCGCCTGGGATCCGCGGGATCCGCCACTGGACCTGAATATGTCCCTGGACCTACTGGATCCGTACCTGGAGCTGAATGCGTCATTGGACCCTCTGGATCCTCCCACGGATCCGCCACACCCGACTGGACCCGGCCCGGGGCTGGATCCGGGCCGGAGGCGGGATCCTGGACCCTCAGCTGAGGCTCAACTCAAGCCTAGTGCTGGCTGGGATGTCTCTCAGCCTTCCTTACTCTCAGCCGGACTGAGATCTTCGAGCTGGTCTTCGCCTTTGTCATCAGCATCATCACCCTCATCCGCTGACACTACAAGTCCTACCGTTACTACATCAGTGTCTCCCGCTTCATTGTCATCAACATCCGTCCCTCCGTCATCGACTCATCCAGCGACTCCTGCTCCGACTCCCGAGTCAACTCCTGCTCTTACTGCTGCTCCGACTCCGACTCCGAGTCCGTCCGATCCTGTCCTGACTCCGACTCCGACTCCGACTCCGACGTCGCCCTGCGCGAGAGATGCAGGTAGAGCTTTTGTTGCGTGTTTGGGCACCAAAGCACCCCGGTTGGGTGTATTGTGTTTGATTGGGTGCGCGTGGGTGGCACCCGCCTTGTGTGAGTTCACACCGCTTCACCCCGACACCCACTTGGCTGGTTTTTCACACCGGCACCGCGAGAGGGGGGTCGTTTTTTGGTTTTTCGTGCCGTACCGCTAATGCCACCGCACCGCTACACTGCTGACACCTGGCGGCGGGTGTGTGAACTGCAGCTTCGCCGCCTGGCCGCCTGGCGCGCGCCTGTCCCCGCTTTTCAGCCCAGTCGAGTGGTCCGTTTTTATATTTTGTTTTGGTCCGTTTTTGTTGGGTTGTTTTTGCTGGCATGCCCCCATGTGTTTTGTGAGAGTTTCTGTGTATTGTCTGTCGTTTTCTCGGCCCTTAGTTTGTGAGAAGTGAGTGTTTTCTCTTGTAAGTTTTGATGGACTAGATCTCGGCTTGATTGTTCGTCATCTCAACGTCCCAGTTCTAACAGCATTTCAGTTAATCTGTCCTCAGTTTTTGTGCTCTACCTCTGTGGTTTTTAAGCTGTCGGCTTAATCATGCTGTCTTTTTGTTCGTTGAGCTGCGGTGTTGCTACGTGGGTACTTTTGAGGGTGTGTCACTTGTCAGTCTAAGCGTCCTTCGTGGCCGATTCAGTCGGATTCAGTCGGATTCAGTCATTTCATGATCGGATTCCACTCTGGCCTTCTTTTGTAGCCGGCACCTGCTGCTTTCTTTGCGGAAATTGCTGACATTTCATAGATCAGCACAAGAGTAAAAGTCATATCCCTTTAAACACTACACGCCATTTCTTTTATGATAAATGTGGCATTGTTTCATGGCTTTCGATACAAAATTACCCAATCTCTGGCATTTGTTAATCCAATATTTGGTTACACTTTGATGTCAGTGATATGTCGATTTCTGCCCACCATTATGTGAATTAATAGCACACCCAACCCTTTGTGCGAATGTGAATGGACAAATGTTATCAAGCCAAACCACAATATTACTCATGCCCCTTACCTTTGTGTACCCTTAACCTGACCATGAGGTGTGCTCCCGCCTCCCTCTACCACCTCTCTCTCGCTCCCGCCCCGCTCTAACCCCCTCTCCCTCTCGTTCCAGGCTCCCGGGACGCCATCGTTGAGCAGGCGTCTATCGCCGGAGGTGCGGGCGTGGCTCTGCTGGTCTGTCTGCTCCTATCCGGACTGCTTTACGTGTGGAGCAAACGGCGCAGCAAGTCGGCGGCGTAAGTTACACAGACGGGGGTGAGGGGGTTATGAGAGGTTAGGAGGGGTGTGGGTGCGTGGGTTAGTTAACCGTCAGTGTGTTTGGAGAAAGCGTTATGGTTTAGCGAGGAAGGGTCAATCAACTGTCAGTTGGGAAAGCATTCCCTACCTTGTGAAGTCATTGCCTCCCCTGGATGACATGACATCAGCATCCACTAACTCAATTAATGGGGTTTGACTGATTCACTGAATATTGACTGAGTTCTTCCATCTGCTAACCTGCGTAGCCAGCACAGCATTGTGCTGAACAGTTATAACCGTTGCACGTGATAGTTATGAACAAGATAGCTTGTGCATTGTGTTGCGGTGCGAACTACATACGAGTTACGCGTATCTGCTTGTAAACCGACACACTTTGTGCCTGTTTAGCGTATGTAACATCTGTGAAACCCTGATGCATTGACGTGTCACCCTAACAAAATCAACAGCATAACGTGACACTTTTTAGCTGATTATGGTATGTTCTTGTTCTCACATGTGACACCTTGGCGAACTTTGTGACGATTGTGACGCTGTGATGTCGACGTCAGCTGACATTTGGCTCTGTGTTTCCAGGTCGAGCGGCCAGGTGACGCCCCGGTTCGGGCTGCGCCAGCCGACCTCTCACGTGGTCGAGATGGAGCCACCGACGATACCGGCGGCAGCCAATCAGCAGCCGAGCCCAGCTGACGTCATCGAACTGCAGCCCGTTGATAGGTGGACGCCGCCGCAGCCGCCGGCTACGCAGACTGTACCGCAAGACACGCCGGCGGGCGAGGCTCCCACGGCGGCTCCCGCGGCGGCTCCCGTGGCGGCTCCCACTGCTCCCGCGGCTCCTGGGGAAGCTCCCCAGGCGACCGGAGCCGGAAAGGAGCCTACTGGATCTACCGATGATGGAAATTCATCTCACTCGGACTCTGTTGAGCCACAAAGCCGGCAATGCGACAGACCGCCCTAGGGCTACAGTGACGACTTTCGGTGAGCCGTCGCCTGCCCCGCTGCCTTAAGTCATTGCGGTTACTTCTGATTCTTCTGCGGTGCTGGCAGCGGCGGCGGCGGTGGTCAGAAAGTCGAAGAAGGAAAGAGCGAGGGAGTGAGTGAGAGCGAGAGTGGCGGGCCGCCCCGCGCGCTCGTTTCTGCTAGTCTGGATGAGGGGCCGCTGAGCGTCGTGTCATACTTCAATACGTGAACGCGCAGTAAGGAGGGGGTGGGGCGGATGGGCGGCCGGCCGGCGGCTCGCTCCATGTGTAAATACTTTCCCCGCTGTCGTGTGACTGAGCGAGAGAATGTGCGACTGAGATGGACTATTTATTGCTGGTGAGCCGTTTGTAGGTGTGACTGTGCGTCAGTGCACGCGCGCGCCAACACACTATGAATTTTTAGCATTTTGTCTCCGGTGTGATCTCGGCGTCTGTGGCGCCGCCGGGCGGGGTTTTAGCGCAACGATAGTTCTGTTATCGGCCGCGCGGCGGCGCTGGTGGCGCGGCGGCCGGTGGCGGCGCGTTAGTCTGTTGTGTTTTGTTGAGATGTGACGCCACCCTGACCGTGTTTTATTGGTGACCGCGCCGGACGGTCGGCGCGGCCGACTAGGGGGGGCCCCCCTCCCCGGGCGTCGGGCCGCGCCGCCGTCCGCCGCCGCCGCGCCGGTGATTGCCGCGGCGCGGAATCTGATTGGTGAGCGCGCCTCGGAGGCTGTGTCCGTATTGACAGAGTTCCTTGCTGTTTGTACGTGTGGCATAGTCGTGCTGCGCTTGTATAGCATGTGATTGGTGGCGACAAAGTTCCTCGTATATCAGAATGTAGCGTATTATATGGCACTCACCAAGATTGAATTTGTATATAAATAAAGATGACTTTGCAATGTGAAATGTTTTACCATATGGAATGAGGGAAACGGAGAGGAAGAGAAAGAGAAAAACAAAAGAGGAAAACAAAGAAGAGAGAGGGAGAGAGACAGAGAGCCGGGGGACAAGTCCAGCAATAATAAACACTTAGAGGCATAGAGGATGGCAGCTGCCCAAATAGTTTATCTCTCGACACACACTACATCACTGGAATATTGAAAATGAGGACTACGGGGGAGGGGGGGGGAGGGGCTTGAGGCCCGAGTTTTCACCCATTAGTGCGGAAAACTGTTAGAAAACTGGTTAGGAAACTGAACATAATGAAAAAAAAAAAACAATGTCACGGCGTAACACTAAGGAGATCAAAGGCTCTCGCACCTTATCAACAGCATTCGGGACAAAGCCACGCAAATAAGTAGGAATAAGTTACACAAGTCAGTGATACAAAAAGTTACACGACTAAGTGACGTTCCTACATTGGAGGGTCAGAGTGGATGACAGGACCGCGATATTTGCCAGCCGGGTTCACCCGACCTCGCCAAATTAGGAGAGCTGTCAATGCCCGTCGCCCCGTCAACTCTCACCTTGCCCAAGCATTGGATTCCGTGTGTCAAGGTCAAGGCCAATCATCAGCTAAAGTACAAACACGGATCAATTTGTTTGTTTGTTTGTTTGTTTTGTTGGGTTAGGCCCTTTCGGTCGACAAGACCATTGCAGAGCCGGAAGGATGATAGGATTTAGGGGGAGACATTGGTCTGGGCAGGCACCCTAGTGAGTCGCCGGGGCTGAGCCCGTCCAGAGGACAGGCCACCCAGCCCCAAGGCACTCACTGCACCCGGCTACGGGGTGCGCTCCCTCGGGAGCAGCGGTGCCGCTCCAAGGGAGCAGCCCGCATGAGATAAAGTTGCCTGTCCAGCCCGGAAGGGGGTTGTGGCGTGGAGGAGAAGGATTTCAGTTTCCTGAGGATAGAAGCACGGATAGGTGAGCATTAGTCACTTACAGCCATGTTTTAGTAGCTCCCAAACGTATGTACGAATAGTTCGAGTCTTTCTTCATATATCCACCAATTCGGCGTGAGATCACCGCTAGCGACATCTATTGAAGACAGCTTCGCTCTCGAGACAACACACCTATCCGTGCTTCTATCCTCAGGATATTGAAATCCTTCTCCTCCACACCGCCACCCCCTGCCGGGCTGGACAGGCAACTTTATCTCATGCGGGCTGCTCCCTTGGAGCGGCACCGCTGCTCCCGAGGGAGCGCACCCCGTAGCCGGGTGCAGTGAGTGCCTTGGGGCTGGGTGGCCTGTCTTCGGACGGGCTCAGCCCCGGCGACTCACTAGGGTGCCTGCCCAGACCAATGTCTCCCCCTAATTCCTATCATCCTTCCGGCTCTGCAATGGTCTTGTCGACCGAAAGGGCCTAACCCAACAAAACAAACAAACAAAACTCGAGACAACAAGCTAGCGACATCTATTGAGGACAGGTTCAGCCACTACTCAGTATACTAGCGACACCTATTAGCGACAGCTGTAATCATTGGTTCGTAAAGCAGGAGGTCAATCAAGCGGAAAAAAATGAGTTTCTAATGAAATTTGATGACTCAAACAAACTATTATGCATTATTCATTATTATACCATATTTTATGAGTAATTTTGACAATTTTCCCCTTAGTTGCCTTTCTCGGTTCTGTTTTTCGCCATACTAACAGCTGAAACCGGAAATGTCAGGTAAACATCAGTTGTTGCGTAAAAAGTGGTGTGTGATTGTGTGTGATAAAAAAGGGGATGAAATTGGTGAATCAAACCGCTAAAGATGGACTGGATCTCACTTATCAGGTGGGCACTATCTCTTCCAAGTGATGTATCGTGTTTCTAGTAGCCTCGGGCACCAATGGTCTTCTGCTGATGATTGGCCTTGACACACGAAGCCAAAACAAACATGGCCGAAGGCGGAAGTAGTGGCCCTTCTCTTTCATATAAGGAAATGCCGCCTCGGGGTCGGGCCAGAGCTGGGGCGCTGGGGCCAGTTTTACCAACAGAAAAAAGCAGCTTGCCGGAATTTTTTGCCTTAAGACCGCCTCACATAGACCGCTTCACATTGTCTAAAGACCGCTTCCTACGGAGCGTAAACGGTAACACCCTCTCCGCTTACTGTTACGTGTCGATCGCGTGAAGCGGTCTTTAGGCAAAAGATTCCGGCAGGCGGCTATTTTTTTGTAGGTAAAACTGACCTCTGGTCATTAGCCCCCAGCCATTGTGACTGCTGTCAGTTGTCAGCTGTCATTATGTGAGTGTGGCTGTGGCCATTTGCAGGCATGCGACTTCGTGTTTCGGCTGGATCAGGATTCAGATTGGGATGGTGAGACGAGACCGTGTTCGCTCTTTGACGATGACGGGCGGTGACCTAGTCAGAGAGGAAAACGAATTGGAATATCCTGATTTTGTCCGCCTTCTATTGACTTTTTAACTTTCTTGCGAGTCTAAACAATTGTAACTCGATAGCATTAGTGTCGCCACGGGGGGGGGGGGGCCAGCGGGGCAGCTTGCCCCCCCCCCCAACCTCGGACCGGGCACCCCCTGAGATCGATACAGATCCGATGAGATTTTGGAGTCGGGAAAAAATGGCGGTACCTTTCTGAGAATGCCTGTGAGGTCAGACTCGGTTGGAGCGTGCAGTTCAAACCAGAGTCTGACTCGCAGTCGCCAAAATCTTCAAGACTCCGAGTCCAGACTCGGAAATGTCAATGCTGTGATTCATTCCATGTTCCTAGTTCGTTCTTTATTACATTTTACAGCTGATTTTCATAAGTTTTGGAGTGCTGACACGATTTTCGTTCAAAGCGTGAAACGAAATCTTCGGGGTCTTTCTCAACTCTCGTCAAATGTCTGCGACAGGCTCAAGTACCGTACAAGTGTCGCAGGGCTCATGAGCTTGCTTTAAACAAAGGCTGCTAAGGAGCTCCACTGATCCCTAACGAAGCTTTCAGAGGGCCCAAACCGGCCTTCTGAAAGTCCCACTGATGTCCATGTTCTCTGAGGGCCCATGCAGGGATCTTTGAGCCTTCGAACATTTCTGAGAACCTTAGCTGACCTCTGATAGTTCAGCCAAACTTTTGAGGCGACAGACTTTGCCAACCCCAAGCCGGCATCTGAGGGGTCACAGCTCACGTGTCCCTGTCAGGTCCGCAACACATGTTTATTATGTCCCTGCGTAGGGTCTTTAGGGATTCGACACAGACCCCGAGGGTTCACACTGTTATCCGAGGGCTCCAGGCTCACCCTGGGCCTAGTCTCTTAGCGCCCGCCGCCCACACTGGCTTCTGAGGGCCCCACCTTGGGCTCGGAAAGCCCTAAAGCACCATGTACACGTAAATATTTGAGGTGACCCATGCCGATCTCCGGGATCCTAAGCATGCTTCTGAGAGTCAGCACTGACCCTGAGTGGCCTGAAATGGCCTGAAGTCCCAAACCTACCTTTAATTAACCCTAGAACGCCTAGGGGGGGGGGGGTTGTATCAACCCCCCCCCCTGAGGTTTTTTCGAAGTGCACGCTAAACGGCTTGTCGTAGCGGGCTGAAATTTTCAATACCATCTGGGACAACCTTTGCGCATCTTTTGCTGAAAAAAAATTGATTGGGTCATGTCAGGTCACGGAGTTATGACGTCATAAGAGGTACAGCCTCCGGCCGACAGTTACCAAACGTGTGCGCCGAATCCCTAGGTTTTCTGCCGGTGATACCCACATTGTTTGATGGATCATGATGAAACTTCCCATGAATGTTGGGGCAAGCATTGGCTATCGTGTGGTGCAAGAAAATTGACCGGGTCAGGTCAGGTCACGGAGCTATGACGTCACAAGAGGAACAGCGTCCGATACTATTTTTGAAAAGCGCCCGAACCACTATTTTGCTAATTCATGTCACCTAAATGGGAATATGCAGCAATATTAGCTTCTATAGGGAGCAAATGGACCTCCCAAATCCAAAAATACAATCAGATTTCAAAAATTTAAATTTTGATTTTTCGAATTTCTGCCGCCGACTGTGACCTTGCCGACTTCCGGCGCTCCCAAGTCCCAACGCGCCATTTTTAGAGCTAGGGAAACGAAATACATACCAAACGATAGAGAATTAATCAAGGAACACGATAGTGAAGGTTTCAAGTCGATATCTCCCACCGTTTTGCCGCAATCGCCGCGGAAAGTTGAAAAAGTTTGATTTTTTCGGAAAATTTGACCTTTAGCCGGTCATAAGTAGGTCAAATGTTGACCTAGGACCAAAAATATACCACCAATCGCGAGATCTCGTTGAGAGCAATCCGTTGGTTTTTCCGCTAAGCTCTACGACCTTCCGTTTCGAAACGCCAGGGGGGGGGGTCGTAACAACCCCCCCCCCCTGGTCGTTCGTGTTATGAGAAATGGCCTGGTCGTGCGAGGGTTAAGGAATCCCTTGCCGCTATGCCGTGCGTAACTTTTGGTTCCGTTTAACAGTTCTTGTTCGCGTTTGCAGCGCTTCCCCTCACACGAAAAACGAGAAACTTTTGTTCATACTCGAGTGAACAAAACACTTCCTCTCACTGGAGCAAAGATGGATTACTTCCGATTCACACTTCTGACATTCGCTCTCCGCCAAATGCCCAACTTTACTACGATCGGCGGCTGGGATTTCACGTAATACCTACCTCTGCATGCATGCGTGAATGGAGGTTTTAGCAGGGTGATCCGATTAAATGGAGCGTTTTTCACCTTTTTCTGGGTTAATGATCATGAGCGTCAAGTGCCTGCACAGGGGCCCTCTGCAGTGCGCGTCGGCAATCGCAGCCAGTATAATTCTACCAGTCGTTTTTGTCATGAAATTTTTAAATTTCGAATTTTTCTGTAAAAATTACATGTCATAGCTAGAAGGAAACCTTTGTCACCATCGGACTCTTCGCATCATTGCGCGTCGAATGATATGTAAAACGAGTGAGTAAAGACTGGGGAAAGGCAAGTTTTAACACAAAAGTTGATTTTGCCCCC